TGAAAGTTGTTTGGCCAGCTCCTGGATCTTCTTAGTTAAGCGGGTTGCCTCCGTAGGAGAAGTGATCTCAATGGGAACATTGTGAAAAGGATGGTGCCCATGTACTAGAGGAATCTCAAAGTAATGGCGCCAATAATCCGCAGTGCGCAGGGACCACTCCCAATTGCCCGAAAGACCATAAAAGTAGTGCTCGGGATCACGACATTTGGAGAGCCCCGACATGGGGATCTCTTCGATGAATAACTCCCTGGTATTGTTGGAGTGGGTAATGATCTTGAAGTAAATCTGGTGGACCACGCGTGATGAGAAGTGAGCACGATGGAAGAAGTTGTAGGTAGAACTTGGCTCAGTCGGGAAAGGAACATCAGGAAGTGCAGGGCCTGAGTATGTATCGGTGTGGGCCGTGGTTCCGATGTCGTTGGTTGTAGTGTCAGCGGCCAGAGGTGCCGAGGTGGTCGAGGTCGCAGGGTCAGGAGCAACAGGGTGACATAGTTCAGAAGCCTGGCCGCCTGACACTGGCTCAGGGGCTGTGGAAGCAAGTCCACGGTTGGGATTCGAAGGCCAACCCAAGCCAGCCACGGTGGCGTCACGTTTATGCTCCATGGGTGAGACGGTCACAAAATGCGTTAAATGTCAAAACCAAAAGCTGAGGAATCAGGAATATATAAATAAGCCGAGCCAGAGAATAATAATAATAAAATCCAATGGTCAATCCCTTGTCCTTAATCCACGGAAAGAGCAATGCGCGGAACCTAAAGTGGTGGAAATGAATCGAGAGGTGAAATTCCAAAGAGTCCGCCGTGTCAATAAAGTCTCATGGATGAAAGGAGAAAAAACAAGTCGTGCATTTTCCTGTTCACCAGCGAGGCACATCAGGGTAGGATAACTCCAGGGCTAACCTTATGGCATCTCAGACGTAGCACGAAAGGCTGTGAGGTACCTGGTACGAGCAAGGTGGATTCGATGTAGTTGTACTGCCGGATTCGCCAGTCAGGACGGTATTCTTCCAAAAGCTGCATGACAGTCCAATCATTGGGAACTTGGAAGGCATCACCCTCCAGATCGCAATAGCGAAACTCCAAATTCGAAGGTTCAAAATGGATGTCCCATTGGGTCCTTAATCTTGTTGTGATGGCGGTACGTAGGTCTCGAATGGGAAGAATGCCTGCTTCGATTGGTTCCAACTGGCGTGACCAGGTAAAAAGAGCTTCAAGTTCGCCTGCACTAACATTCTTGAAATTTGAATTGGCCAGAGCCATGTAGAGATCACGGTCAGGTTCACTACGGTGTGTCAATCCCTGTAAAGGAGAGTAGTCAACTAAAATCAGAACAGGTCTGTATGGAGGAGGGTCCACATCACCAGGAAGGCATCGGTGTCCGGCAAGCCATGCAGCAGTTCGGTGACCTTGTGGTGTATCAACCCTGGATGTAGCGCGATATGGGTGAGGGCGAGAAGAGTGAGCCATGGCGTCGAGTATCAAGCGTGAAGCCCAGGCTGCAACATAAGAATACTATAGTGATCGAAAATAAAGTCCACAAGCAAAACATGAAAGAAGACGGTGTACACAGTAAATGGTCACGAATCGACGTTTAGTCACCTTTCTTTTTCCTTTCGCAAAATGATGTGGTATGTTACACACTGGAGTCAGACATATCCATCGGGCCAGGTTCGTTCGCATCCAGTGGACAATGTGTATGGTGAGCAGGGGCGGTAGGGTGATTGGAATGTAAGGTCCGGTGAAGTGTTGCCGATGGTGAAGAAGGTGGTGTAGATCTCCATGGTGGCCAATATAGAGAAGTAGTGGTACCTTGTGAATGGTGTTGAGCCGAACGTCCACAGCATGATTGTAAAATGTGAAGCTGGTCAGGTATCGCTTCGTACGGTTGAGAAACGTAGACATTGGTTTGTTCGGGATGTGGGAGAACAGGAACGGAAGTTGCCGTAGAGGAGGAGGATGATTGGATGGGTACATCATACTGGCGCCAATGATTAGCCGTAGTGCGTAGGGTAGCACGATCACTGGTGAGGTGCATGTTCTCCAAAAATGTTTCCACTGGTTTCCACGTTTCAATACCATCTACTGTCCTTTCCACGATCCAAAGTTCATCAGGACGAGAAGACAAGGGGTAGCTCAGCTTCTTGATAAATATGGAATGAACGGTTGTAGAGGTTGGAATCCTTCTGGCTGCCCTGGGAATATACGATGCCGAAGTAGGAGCATCAGGTGGGAGATGTGGATCCGGGCCATGTACTGATGTAGGTGAGGAGCGGGTTGAAACCAGCTGAACAGCATCATCAGTGGCGGAGGTCATCATGTACAGAGGCAGTAATATGATATCGAAAGGAACTGAACTGAAGCCGAAATTCCGTTGAAAGAAGTCCATATTGAAATAAACAACAACAAGAAGCACAAAATGGGAAAACATGAGAACAAAGGAAACAAAAGAGGAAGGTCAATAAGAAGGCGGAAGACTTCACGACCTGTGCTTTTCCCTTTTCCAAAGACGTGAGCGAATCAAGGTTATATCTCAAAAGGCTAGTCACGCGGCGGTCTTAGTGTATCTGGTGGCAGTGACGAATGGATGTCCTCGAGGAATCACTTGAAGATGGACAGCGAAACCCGTGTCTTGTAGATCTGGATGGGGTGTCAGCAACAAAGGTGAACAATCACGGGATGTGAAGGCATCTAGATGTTGATGAGATTTCCATGACGGGTAGAACCAGTTCAAAATGTCCAGGAGAGAATGAGGAAGGTCATCAAGCATCTGAGCTCCTTGATCGGTGTCGATCATCATGTAGAAGTCCGTCGCCTGTAGGTGTATCGACCATCTCTGTAGAAGCGTGTCCGTCACCACTGTTTTCAAGTCTGAAACGAAATGACTGCGGGCGTAGTCAGGGTAGATCACCTTGAAAGTCTGGAACAGGCTGTCATATGCTTCAGTGGAGAGGTTGCCCACGACCTTGGGGGCCAGGATGTTGTAATATGGGTTTCTGGCGGCCAATTGCTGCATAGGTTTCAGGTCCAATTGGAAAATAACCGGTTGATGGGGTGTAGAAGGCGGAGGTGTCCGGCCGGGTGGGTGCTGAAAAGGCGAAGAACCCATAGCAGAAGATGGTGCCCTGGTTGGAGAGCGTGATCGTCGGGTAGGAGAGATACTGTCGTGGGCCATAGCTCGCTGTCGGCAATATCGGTCCAGGTGAATGCGGAGAGACATAGTAAACGGCTGACGGTGTGTATAATGTGGATGTCCAGGTTTAAGTCGAGCAACCATGCCAAAAGGGTTAAGAAAGTGAAAAAAGTAGTTCGAGGTAAAGCAATACCTTGACGCCAAGAAGAATAGATACACAGGAGGTTGGGTATTGAAAATGCTACACGGTGCCGCGGGACATCTTTTTCCTTGTTTGCACGTCGCCGGTGGTCAGCCAAGTCGGTCTTTGATCTTATTCCACATAGAGCGAACATCTTCCTCCGATTTGCCCATCTTGGTCGAGATCACCCGCCACGAAAATCGAGACTTCTCGTCCGCCTTCAAAGTACGAAGTTTCTGTTTGTCTTCAAAGGTCCAGATTGACAATGGGCTCGAGGAACGGGATCTTGATTTGTCGAGTCGACGACGACGTTTTGCAGGTACTTTGGGGACTGCTTTGGCTTTCTGTTTGCGATTCGGAGGTGTTGTTGTGGTGGCTGAAAGCTTCGAGGGTGCAGGGAGGACTTCAGGTGACGGGGCAGCAACGTGGTGATGTGGTTCAGGAAGGTGGGTTTCCAAAAGCTCATCCATGAGTGCCTCTTCCTCAGCTATATCCGGCGAAGGGATGTGGGCAGTGTCAATAAAGGCATTGGTCCGGTCCGAGTAGTGCGGTCGCAGCCCATCGGGTTGATTCCATACGTCTGTGCTGGGAAGAGGTGTAGGTTCAATGTTGGGGATGAGAGTAGGTGGAAGTAACGCCATTGCTCGATGTAGTAGGAGGTAAGCATGGTGAACATCATGAAGAAATTGAAGAAACACTGGTTCGTGAATCGGGATTGAAGTTGTAGGAGACGAAGAAGCCATCGCGAGGCGTCGAATAAGGCCCAAGGTATAAATGAAAACGAGTTTGAGGGTGAGCCAGCTGAAAAAGCAATACACCGACATCGGGTAAAATAAAGTTTGGAAGGAAGAGGTGAGACGTTCAGCAGGATGTGAAACGTGAGACATAAGCACAGGTGTCAGGGCGGCACCGGATTTTACCACAATGAGGAGGTGTGCAGATCTTGACGGATAGGCTTGGCAGCGGCAGCTAAACCGGATTCGCAAAAACCTGCTGCTCTGTACAAACGGTGCAATGCGGCAAAACCTCGAGTTCGTTCTGGTGCAGGGTGCGCACATTTGGCGACCAGAAATAATCGTGAGACGAAACCCGAAAGTTGGACTGCTAGAGGTGATGCGGAGAATGGGGCCATGACCTGGTTGAAGTCGCGCGGAGGGCTGTAGCGAAGTGCGAAAGGTTCGAACTCGATGCAAAAGCCCAGGAACTCCTGGTCCGGTTCCGTTTCCAAAATGATTGGGTGGCCGTAGAACTCCGGGTGAAGGAATCATAAATGATCAGGGGGGGGCTACCCTAACGGGCCCCCCCCCTAAAACAGCCTTATTTCTAGAAATAAGAAAACCACATAAAACCATTCTAATTCCTTATTTCTATGGCTCAGGTGTCAAGCTTTAGGTTGGGCAGAAATAGGCTTAATTCAGGCTTAATTCTAGGGAATAAGCCCTTATTTCTTCATCGAATCCGAAGATAGACATTGCGAACCGCTATTTCCCTAATTCAGCCTTATTTCGATAAGGTTTTGCGGGAAAAAAGGATTCAACGACACCCCAGTAAGTATCAAATGAAAGCGTTATCAGCACCATAAACTAAGCACTCATTGGCATACAGTTGGAATTCTCAGCCGGTAATTAGGGGGTTCCCTGGACATGAGATTATGAGCCATTAAAATTTGAAAATCCCTTCCTTCCGCCGGTCAAATCCCTGCAAGCTCAGCCGAGCTCAGCTGAAGCTGATTTTTTTCCCCGTCTTTGGAGATCCAAGTCCAGATTGTTTCAATCTGCCTGTTGTCACTGGAATCCCGGATGGCCTTGGGAATTCCAAGCAGCTTCGGAAACAAACGGAACATGAACCCAATGTCAACTTTGGGTCAGGATTCATTACTAGCCCACAATAAGCATTTTGAAGAATTGGCAAGAGGATTGCCCTGTCAATGGCTTTTTTGGTCGCAATCTATTAATGGCTGGCAATCGTGATAATACCAGGTGGAAAGTGGAAATAAGGAAGTAAGGAAATTAGGAACTAAAGGATTTCATAATTTGTTCCAAACCAGCATTACAGAGTTCTCAGCAAAGATAATAAAGGAACCCTGACAGATTCGTACCGGTGGGGACCACGGGGTCCAAAGGGGATCAGGAAAAACCAATAATAGCATTGTGGAAACAAATGGCCGGGGAATGAATAACACATTACGATTTGACACGACGATTCTTGTGGGTGGTTGCCGCTTTATAATCAAAACACCCAAAAATCTTGTGACATTTTATTTGACTATGTTGTTAAATCTTGATACTACCATTGGATGATGTAAGGAAATGCAGAAATAAGAAATTGACGAGTTACCCAACTTGTGCCAAAACCAAAATAATTGAAAACTGTCATGAATTTGGAGTCCTCAATGAAGATACTACTACGCCACAGGAACCCACAAACCCTGCCAAATTTTAGGCAACCGCACCTTTGGCCGCCGGTCACTTTGGCCTTGCAGTTTACAATGGTTTCTGCAATGATCTACACCCATTTTTTCAATAATGTGTTTTGTAGGCCTCAGAAGAAAGCCTAGCAATTTCAACATGGCTACAAAGCTCCTACTGATAAGGGGTATCCACATTCAAATCGCTTCTGCTTTAAAGAAGGACATGTCCAACTTTCAAAAGTCTGCAGCTGTTCTTAAATCTTCACCATATGTCTGGGCAAAGCGGACCCACTAATTTTCAATTTCTCCCAACAAAAAATCTGGAAGTAAGGAAATAGGGAAATAAGGAAATAGGGAAATACCTGGACCCCAATGGGAAAACAAAGACGATCTTGTATCAATCAATAGCCCCGCCGACCGCTACTGACGCCTTTGCATTCAAATCAGACCAGCTGTTCTGGTCAAGGTAGCTCTTGGAGCACTGCATTGAATCCAGTTGGCCTTGCAATGCTGCAAAAGTTTTGAAATCAGAGAAACAAAACACATACGTGCAAAACTAGGGGTATCTATGATTCACTTCAATCTGAAATTCAGATGGTCTCCGTACCAAGGAAGGCTTCGACTCTATTTTTGATTTATCCCAAAATTCACCATATAACATAGAACTAAGGAAAGAAGGACATAAGGAAATAATGACTTAAGGATGGCAGTGATGAAAAACCACGATTTTCCTGTAGAACTGGCTGTAACCCGGGGACTATCCCACAACCCTTTTAGCAAAGTGAACCTCCTAAATTTCCGGGTTTTTCCCTCAATTGGTGCTAACATAGAAATTATGACAAAAGGAAATAAGGAAATAAGGGTTCCTCCCGCTGCCTGTTGTCACTGGAATCCCGGATGGCCTTGGGAATTCCAAGCAGCTTCGGAAACAAACGGAACATGAACCCAATGTCAACTTTGGGTCAGGATTCATTACTAGCCCACAATAAGCATTTTGAAGAATTGGCAAGAGGATTGCCCTGTCAATGGCTTTTTTGGTCGCAATCTATTAATGGCTGGCAATCGTGATAATACCAGGTGGAAAGTGGAAATAAGGAAGTAAGGAAATTAGGAACTAAAGGATTTCATAATTTGTTCCAAACCAGCATTACAGAGTTCTCAGCAAAGATAATAAAGGAACCCTGACAGATTCGTACCGGTGGGGACCACGGGGTCCAAAGGGGATCAGGAAAAACCAATAATAGCATTGTGGAAACAAATGGCCGGGGAATGAATAACACATTACGATTTGACACGACGATTCTTGTGGGTGGTTGCCGCTTTATAATCAAAACACCCAAAAATCTTGTGACATTTTATTTGACTATGTTGTTAAATCTTGATACTACCATTGGATGATGTAAGGAAATGCAGAAATAAGAAATTGACGAGTTACCCAACTTGTGCCAAAACCAAAATAATTGAAAACTGTCATGAATTTGGAGTCCTCAATGAAGATACTACTACGCCACAGGAACCCACAAACCCTGCCAAATTTTAGGTAACCGCACCTTTGGCCGCCGGTCACTTTGGCCTTGCAGTTTACAATGGTTTCTGCAATGATCTACACCCATTTTTTCAATAATGTGTTTTGTAGGCCTCAGAAGAAAGCCTAGCAATTTCAACATGGCTACAAAGCTCCTACTGATAAGGGGTATCCACATTCAAATCGCTTCTGCTTTAAAGAAGGACATGTCCAACTTTCAAAAGTCTGCAGCTGTTCTTAAATCTTCACCATATGTCTGGGCAAAGCGGACCCACTAATTTTCAATTTCTCCCAACAAAAAATCTGGAAGTAAGGAAATAGGGAAATAAGGAAATAGGGAAATACCTGGACCCCAATGGGAAAACAAAGACGATCTTGTATCAATCAATAGCCCCGCCGACCGCTACTGACGCCTTTGCATTCAAATCAGACCAGCTGTTCTGGTCAAGGTAGCTCTTGGAGCACTGCATTGAATCCAGTTGGCCTTGCAATGCTGCAAAAGTTTTGAAATCAGAGAAACAAAACACATACGTGCAAAACTAGGGGTATCTATGATTCACCTCAATCTGAAATTCAGATGGTCTCCGTACCAAGGAAGGCTTCCACTCTATTTTTGATTTATCCCAAAATTCACCATATAACATAGAACTAAGGAAAGAAGGACATAAGGAAATAATGACTTAAGGATGGCAGTGATGAAAAACCACGATTTTCCTGTAGAACTGGCTGTAACCCGGGGACTATCCCACAACCCTTTTAGCAAAGTGAACCTCCTAAATTTCCGGGTTTTTCCCTCAATTGGTGCTAACATAGAAATTATGACAAAAGGAAATAAGGAAATAAGGGTTCCTCCCGCCACACGAACACACAACTTTTCATTGGTAAGCCATTGCCTTAAAATCGTCAAGAACTTGTATTAAAAGATACATGCAGCTGAAAGTAAATTCACTACCTCGCGGCGCATTCCCGCCTCTGGCCTGAGAGTAGACCACATGACAGACCACATCTTCGATGTCCTGGTCAAGGCGGGCTTGGCAATCAGCATAAGTTGGCCTTGCAAGGGTCGGGTGTTATCAACATGAAGTATAATAACTTGAAGAGGAAAACGATTCTTGGACTCAATGAGGGTTCTCCTATGAGAGGAATCAAGGAAATTAGGAATTAAGGAATTAAGGCATTAAGGAATTTAATGAGAGGAATCATGGAATTTAGGAATTAAGGATTTAATCCATGTTTGCATCCATTTGAACCGTTTCAACTCAAAAAATAATATTGTAAATCAACAACCTGCCACCCATTTCATTGCGGCGGTGGGCCTCAGATCAGGCCACATCATTTGATATTGTTTTTGTTCAGGTAAGCTTCAAGGGCAGCATCCGTTGGCCTTGCAATGCTGCAAGGGTATCAACGTGGGAATTACTGGCCTGAAAAGAAAGCAGCTCTTGAACTGGATTTCTGTTCTGTTTCCTGACTGAAAAGGTACATTGCTGTTTTTCATGGGAATAAGGAATTAAGGAACTAAGGATATAAGGCTTCCATACCCGGACGATCCTATATTGTTGAAAAATGTGGCATTGTCAAGACCCAATCCGTCAAGGCACATTTTTTGCTTGTTCTCAGCATGGCCGGCATTGTACCGGACGTACACGAAGTCCAGGGTTGCCCGCAAGGCGTCCAACGCATTCGCGCAATTGCGCGTTGGCCATGACCTTTGACATGATTGGAGCGCTGGAGCACCTGGAGCCCACTTTAACCAGGACAAAAGGGACCAGGAAGACAGGGTGTAAAACAATGAGGAAAAAATAGGGAAATTAGGGAAATAATGGTGAAATAACGATCATTTGTTCATGGTGTCCAAAATGGTAGTGGTAACCAATGTTTTCCATAATTCTCTTGTTTCTGATTCTGCTGGAGACAAGGAATCAATTTCAAAATTAAGCCAAGGAGCACGAGGGGTAGGTCGTTCGAAACCATTTTTCTGTCGGGTGGTATCTCATCCAGAACAATCCACGCACACCAGCCGTGGATGGCAAGAGCTCCTTGAGGTCTGCCGGTGTCAGGTCGTACTGCTTCTCATTAGAGCTTTTTTTCTCGGCCTGGTGGGCCGCTTTAAACTCCGGGACTTTTCGGTCCATCTGGTTCTGGACTTCTTCCTTGCTCTTGCTGGCTGCCTGAGAGGCCTTCTCGGCACTTCCCCACAGCTTGGTTTCCAAGCTTTCCATTGCCATTTTTTTCAATTTCTCAAAGGCTTGACTGTTTTCAGGGTCTAAGCAAGACATTGCACAGAGCACTTCGACATCAACCGGTGTTTTCAATGTCCCGCAGATGCTGTCAACAATGTCCTTGCGCTCTTGCTCTGAGACACCTGTGCACACCGCATTCACTAGGAGTGTCGTCCAGTCTCGCTTGATCAAATTTCCATTCTTCCCCGATCCTGTACCGGGTTTTGGCCTCAGCTGAGCGTGTTTTGTGGAATCTACCGTCAGGACCCTTCCAACAATGCAGTGCAATGAAAGGAGGCGCACTGTTCGGGAATTGTTATTTGGTAATGGGAATTTAGGACCGCAGTGAATTAATATACAAGTCCAATAATAAGGATAGCACACCTGGGGTAACGGAAAAAGGTTTTAATAGGATAATAATGAAATAATTAAGGATACATCAGCCTAGAAAATACCGTTTGATCTGGTATGGAAACCCATGTGCTTCCCAACCCCTTAGCCCTTCTTGGTTTGAAAAGCAAAGAAGACTTAACCCAATTTGTGGGATACAGTTTCCAGTTGTGTAATCTATTTTTTGATCTCAGATATCCCAGTTGTTGATTCTATCCCATTTTTTGTGGCTAATTTCCCAATTGTTGTTGCTTAAACCGACCTTATTTTTGAGGATGGTGTTTCAAATGCTGGTAAATCATCCAGGTTCAGGCGCCCGCCAACTTTCATTGACTGATTCCTCAATCAATTCTTCTTACTCCGAGATGCGGCCTGAGCCGCAACATCACGCAGCATTGCTTCACCTCATCCAGTTTCAGGGGCACAGCCTTCTCACAGAGGCCCACCCTCAATGGCCACCTTGGCATCAGGGGAAAGAAGGAAATAAGGGAATAAGGAAGTAAGGAAACACAGGGCCAGCAGTGAGCACATTCCAGAAATTAAAATGATTGGGTGGATTTAGTATATAACGGGTGATTGACGGTTTCAATTTCAATTCACACAGTATACATTTCACCTGTTTCCCAGGGGGTACCTCAGGAACCCAGGATGGGCCTGCAAAAACCCAACCAGCACAGTTTCTTTCTTGGCACCAACGCCCGGAAAGAATTGCCTTGATTGGCCAAGGATCTCCAACTCTTTCACCAGCCAAGCGAAGTTTGCCCCAATCGGCAGCATTGAGGCTGGGCAAGCCGTCACACGGGCCGCCTTCCACGGCCCTGTTGCGCGAATGTTGTGGTTGCAGTGGTACTGAAGTTTTGCCGTGGCTCTGTCAAGCACCAAATAGTCCTGAAAGGTTCACGGACGAGGGGGCAACTCATGTTCATCGTTATCCATTTTTTTCCTTTTGCGCTTATTCCACTATTCCCTTACTTCAATGTAGCTAAATATCCTAAAATACTTGATTGATACCAATATTCCCTTATTTCCTTTTTGCTTCACTTTTTGATCCCAAGGACCCCAACGATGTTCACCCACGATTCCCAGCAATTACAAATTTGATGAAATTTATCCCTGATCAACAGGGGGATACCATGTTAGATGGTGGGTCATGAATCAAAGTACCATTCCTTACCGTTAGAAGCTGCCCTCTCTCCTAAAACCCCAAAATATCCTGCCCCTGGTCTTTGATGACCGTCAAAGAGATGCAGAGGACACATGGGTGTTGAAACCCAAGCGAAAGCCAGTACACACCATTATTCAAAAAGATTCCGTGTCTGTAAAGAACCACACCGCACCAGCACTTGGACGCATTCTCGAAGTGATTGGCTGCGTCTGCGACCAAGTAAGCCATGCAGGCAGAGGCCTTGTAGTGAGACAGTGGCCCTGCACTCCTCCAAGTGGCTTTGGCAAGACCTGCGGCGGTCTTCGGAAGAGCAACGTGCTGAGCTTCCGGGAACTTGCTGGAATCCGGCTTGAAGGCATGGTTGTACGCCACCATCTGGCGGCTGTCTGCATTTCGCTTCTGACCGAAGTACCGCAGGAAATCGCTTGAGCTCGGAAGTACTTCATCCATGCCAGACTCTGACAGAAAAGGACTCGCCGAGGCGTACAGCCAAGAGGAGTACGGCGATATCGTGGACTTCTTCGCGTGTCGCTGAGTGACATCCCTCAGATGTGCAAATGTGGACTCAAGAACCGCCTGGGTGCTATGAGAGCCGCTATGCACCCTCCACATCAGCCTCTGAACATCGTGTGCATGCTTCTGGTCAAAGCCAGAAGCGTGAAGCATCGCCTGGAAAGAAGGAAATAGGGCAATAAGGAAATAGGGCAATAAGGAAATAGTATGAAACATTGACGCAAACATCAGCCAACCAGCCCTAATCATCCTAAACCTTCTTGGATAACCCCACTAAACTGATCAGATTTCCCGTTTAAGTCAAGATTCCATGACTTCCCGTGCCAGGCATTCAGAAGTCCAGCCAATGTCTTGGACGACTTTGCCAAGACCAACCGGGGCTTTCCGGGTCTTGATGAGCTCTTCTGCCTTCACCAAAGCTTCCACCATTGCTTTTAGATGGAGCATTGCAGCTTCGCGCTGGGCATGACCTGAGTTTCAGTGGGTTTGACGATCCCTTTTGATAGTGATATCGTGTTAATGGGGTTTACTGTGATTTCATGGATAGAAACTACTTTTTTGAACATATTTTGACCAATTTTTTTTGTTTAGAAATAGAATTAAGATGTCTGCGTCAATGTTTCATACTATTTCCTTATTGCCCTATTTCCTTATTGCCCTATTTCCTTCTTTCCAGGCGATGCTTCACGCTTCTGGCTTTGACCAGAAGCATGCACACGATGTTCAGAGGCTGATGTGGAGGGTGCATAGCGGCTCTCATAGCACCCAGGCGGTTCTTGAGTCCACATTTGCACATCTGAGGGATGTCACTCAGCGACACGCGAAGAAGTCCACGATATCGCCGTACTCCTCTTGGCTGTACGCCTCGGCGAGTCCTTTTCTGTCAGAGTCTGGCATGGATGAAGTACTTCCGAGCTCAAGCGATTTCCTGCGGTACTTCGGTCAGAAGCGAAATGCAGACAGCCGCCAGATGGTGGCGTACAACCATGCCTTCAAGCCGGATTCCAGCAAGTTCCCGTTGTGTCTCCCCGTTGTGTCTCCCTTGTGCCAATTTCATTCCAATACCTTGAAAATGATCCACTGAATGTTTTAAAACTGATTGTGGAAATAATTTATTGATAGAAATGTCATTTTTCAGCATATTTTGACAACTAAAATATTTTGAAAAAATATTTTAAATTTTCATTCCAATACCTTGAGAATGATCCACTGAATGTTCTGGAACTGATTGTGGACATAATTTATTGAAAGAAGATTACTTTTTAAAAAGTATTAAAAGTATAAAAGTGACATTTCTCATTTTGCATCATTTCCCCGTTGTGTCTCCCCGTTGTGTCTCCTTGAGGCCGCGCTCGAGCTGGCTCCGGGCAGATGGCCTGAACATGGGGTGGTACAATGGGGAGAATCCCGCCTTGAAAGGCGAACGCTGTGTTACAACGGGGAGACACAACGGGAGAAAAACAACGGGGAAAGTGATGCAAATTGAGAAATGTCACTTTTATAGTTTGTAAACTAGAAAAAGTTGCTTTTGTAAGTATTGAAATGTCAAAATTGCACATATTTGCTGAATACTTGATTTTTTTTTAAAAATGATTTCTTTCAATAAATTGTATCCACAATCAGTTCTAAAACATTCAGTGGATCAGTTTCAAGGTATTGGAATGAAATTTTAATTCTATTTCTAAACCAAAAAAATTGGTCAAAATATGTTCAAAAAAGTAGTTTCTATCCATATTTTTTGTCCACAATCAGTTCTAAAACATTCAGTGGATCAGTTTCAAGGTATTGGAATGAAATTTTAATTCTATTTCTAAACAAAAAAAATGGTCAAAATATGTGCAAAAAAGTAGTTTCTATCCATGAAATCAATATGTCCACAACCGGTTTTAAAACACCCATTGGTTCATTTTCACGGTATTCCAAAGAAACATTTGTTTTGGGACCATAAACGCTGCTCCACAGGCAAGACTGGGAAGGCAAACCTTAATAACAGGAATAAATAGGGAAATAAGGCAATAAGGAAATAAGGGGATACACAAACTATCATTCAACCAGATACTACTCTTCAGGGTTTAAATACCTTTGCCAAGTTGCTTTCTGCCAGAAGTGATGCAGCTCCCACCGGGAGGGTCCAGGCATAGAGCTGTTCCGACCAGCAAAAGTTGGAAGCCACATTGATGGCGAATTTGGTTGCAAGTCTCATCATCTCAACATCGTGCTGCACAATCGGGTCGGTCGCAAAGAGTACCGTGCCTGGCACCTTTGGCAGCAATCCAAGTCGTTTCTGGAACGCCTCGGTGGACAGCACCTCAAGGATGGAGAGCACCGTTGTGATGCTGGATCCGACACTGGATCTTTGCGCAGCCCAACTCAGCCGCTCAATGCGCGTCTTCTGCGCATCAAGGTCTTGGACGTAACGCCAGTGGAGCCTTTGGCCGACCCCATGGATGATGCACAAATGGTCCCTGCACTCGTTGTCGTGCAAAAAGTCAAACGTCATCAAATGAGGGCCTTTGCCGCGGTACGCGGCGTAAAGGGCTGATTTCGACCACCGCCGCTGCTGCTGTTTGCTGCTTGAAGGAGCTGCTGCCTCTTCCTCCCCATCTTCTGACCCAGTCGCGGCCTGGTCATCGCCCTCCACATCTTGATTCTCCTTGTGTTTGCCACTCAACATGTCTATGAATGATGCTGATATGAACATCCCCCAATACCAATGTTTCCCAACTTTTGCCAGGGTCTGTGTCACATATGTATAATGTTAGTTGCGTGTGCTGAATGCCTTGGCAGCATCTCATGTTTCCACTGGGACGACGTGGAAATAACAAATAAATTTGGAAATAAGGCAATAAGGAACTAAGAAAATTGGTGAACAGTCATTGAACCAATGGAAATAGTGGAGTGAGGGTTTCCTGAATTCCCTGTTGGGTGGGCAAGGATTCATGATATATCACTTACTGCAGGAATTCCACCTGTTGACAATGATTTTGGTAAGTTGATCTGAAACTACCTTGTCATGAATAAATATGTTTCCATCTGAGAAATTCCAATAGCAGCAAGTGGCAAACTGGGTCCACATGATGCAACCTGGACAGGAAACACTGTGTAACACGGGTAGCTGCACCAGTGACATGTATAAACCATGAAACTAAAAAAAAAACTAACCGATTCTCCAAAAATAAATAGGGAAGTTGAGTCCTAGCTTTCGTGTTTCCTGGCAATGTGATTTTCATTCTTGAGCTTCCCGCTCTTGCCAGGATCTACCGCATGGTTGGGGCACCGAGAGGCGGCTACTATCTGGGAGACATGATACTGGAAGAGTACCCTTTCCTTGGAGGAAACAGTGAAATAAATACTACAAGCTCATGTGGTATTGCCTTATTTCCTTATTTCCTTGTTTCTCTATTTTTGTCTTTGTGGTAAAGACCACCGGAGTGATTGTTTTTAGTAGCCAACCCAATACTTACTACTTGTCAGGGTTTTTGGTGCCACATCCTTTGCCCCCTTGAAATAAAGACAATCGTTTGCCCCAGTGGTGGAAATCACAAAGGGGATACAACAACCCAATAGCTGATTCAAATCGTCAGGGTTTATTGGGCTACATCTTTTGCCCCTTTGTGGAAATAACAAAACATGGTAGGCTTCAACCCGATTACTACTAATCATTTTTTCACCACACACTTGGTCGGAATCAAGGCTGCCCTTTTTTTTACCATGGCATCAATGGTGTGAAATAAGGAAATAAGGGAATAACATATTTGGTGTTCAAACTTGATACTTCATTGTTGGGGCCTTCAACTCAACAAGAATCATCAGAATTTATTGCACCACACCCTTGGTGGGAATCAAGACGACCGCTCTTTGCTCCATTGGTGGAAATCAAGAAATTGTCCAATAGAATAGTACCCAACCTGATGCTGATAGCTATGGTTATGGGGCTCACCCGTGGAAACAGATAGTTACTACCTTTTTCCCATTGGTGGAAGGAAGGAAATGATGGGATACAATAGCTGTTTTCAATCTGCTTGTAATTGTCCAGATTCATGGCGGGCACTCTGTACCATCAATGGAAATAACGAAATAAGGAAATAACAGTTTAGTTATTACCCTGGATGAACATTCTGAACCCTACTGAGCTACGGTGGGTAACCCGGGATCCCAAAACCAAGAATCAGGGAGACCACCGGTCTCTTCCAATACTGCCTGCGCGGCGCACTTCAAGACTGCCCAATCCTTCAGGATGAAGTCGAAAGCTTGAACCATGCCAAAGAAGCTCTTGTTTTTCACCTCAGAATCACACTCAAATAGCTTGGACTTGAACGTTTTATTAATCAGCATGGTTGATTGGGCGACATTATACCGACTATATGCATGTTTAATTTTCCCGTTTTACATTTGCTTGGGAAGAAACAGTAAAAGTTTTTGATGTTTCCCACAAATTCCTTGAAAATTTGATTTCTGCCAGGATCTACCACATGGCTGGGGCACCGAGAGGCGGCTACTATCTGGGAGAAGATTACCATTTCCTTGGAGGAAACAGTGAAATAAATACTACAAGCTCATATGGTATTGCCTTATTTCCTTATTTCCTTGTTTCTCTATTTTGGTCTTTGTGGTAAAGACCACCGGAGTGATTGTTTTTAGTAGCCAACCCAATACTTACTACTTGTCAGGGTTTTTGGTGCCACATCCTTTGCCCCCTTGAAATAAAGACAATCGTTTGCCCCAGTGGTGGAAATCACAAAGGGGATACAACAACCCAATAGCTGATTCAAATCGTCAGGGTTTATTGGGCTACATCTTTTGCCCCTTTGCGGAAATAACAAAACATGGTAGGTACAAAAAATAGATAGTCTTCAACCCGATTACTACTAACTATTTTTTCACCACACCCTTGGTGGGAATCAAGGCTGCCCTTTACTACCATGGCATCAATGGTATGAAATAATGAAATAAGGGAATAAACTATTTGATGTTCAAACCCGATTATTATGATTTGTCAGGGTTTATTATTGTGCTACACTCTTTGTTCCCTTGGTGGAACTAAAAAAATAATGGAATCCAACCTGGTACCATCTAATAATCAGAATTTATTGCGCTACACCCTTGGTGGAAATCAAGACCGCTGACCATCCTGCTACCCCATGACATCAGTGGCAAAAATACAAAGAAATAAGGAAATAACACACGTAGTATTCAATCTCATATTAAATTGTTCGTGTATTATTGCCCTACATTCTTAGCCCCTTCAATGAAATAAAGACCGTGGGCCTCCCAGCCCGGAACAGCATAACATGGGATTAGGGGAATAAAGAAAATAAGGAACCGGTTGGTGAAGAATTGAACATTGACATTTAAGGAAGCAAGGGGATACAATAGTTTCTATTCTATTCAATCAATGTTTATTTAGGTACACCTTTGCCCAATTGGTGGAATTACTGGGATCAAGGAGAAATCTAAGAAACCAAAAACATAAGATCCACCTTATTTCTAAACAACAAAACTATCGAAAAAAAATGTGGTCCCCAACTGATATCACTTACCAAAATCACGCAATGTCATTTGCCATCATTGTTTCATCAAGCGATGTAATTATAAGCCTTCCTGCAAATGGAGAACCCAATATTTGTAGATCATCTATAGGTAAGGAAACCATTGTTTTCTAGGCCTTTGTTTACCCCAGGGGTTTTGGTTATTTCTCTCATGACCCCGTATCACCAGGATGTGATGCCCCCAGGTGCCAGAGGCGAAAGCCAAACGCGTGGCCGAGCAGATCATCAGCACCAACACAGGCAGCCCAGCAGAGCCCAGCTGAGAGGTTCCAAAATTTGTTTCCTTTATTTTCCCCATTGATCATTGGTGGGAAAATTTAAATAAGGAAATGAAGGGGAAATACAGAAATAAGGAAATAAGGAAATAAGGGGATACAGAATATATTGTTTAACCAGGTGCTACTCTTCAGGGTTTATTTCCTGTGCTTCACCCTTTGCCCCATTGGTGGAAATAAGGGTATACCACAGCTTGTACTACTGCAATATTCCATCATTTTTTTTGCCTAAAATTTAAAACAATGTCCAGAAATGGTTCCCCCACACTAAAATGAACCCTTGCAACCACCGACAACTCCGACCAGGACCCCAAAAAGTTACATATTTCCTTTTGTTCTCAGTGAACCGGTTTGTGAAGGAAGATGGAAATAAGAAACCAAATATAACAGGATATAACAACCCAGTACAGTAGTTCATTCCAATCGTCAGGGTTAATTGGGCTACATGTTTTGCCGGCTTGTGGAAACAAAGAAAAATGTTGCTACAATAGATCGTCTTCATCCCAATACTACTAAAAATCAGTGAAATTTATTTCGCCACGCCCTTGGTGGAAATAAAGACCACCCTTTACCCCATGACATCAGTGGTCAGAAATAGAGAAATAGGGAATTAAATGCTGTTAATGGTGGAATCACGAGATTAGGGGATACAGTGGTCCAATAGTCGATTTCAACTTTCATTGTCTTTAACCCCTCATTGGTGCCCAGTGGCGAATTGCCCTCTGGTTCTGATGGCTGGCACGTCGAGAAGATCTTGGGCATCCATGACTTCCTCGGAGAGATCGTCTTGCTGGTCCTTGCGATACTCATCCGTGATGGTCTGGAAGAAGTCTTCCTTAGATGTTCAAACTCCAAGAAAGTTCAGCGTAACTAGTGGGCCCTTCCGCTCCCACTGTATATGCAGTATTAATACCCTCAGAATCAATGCATCTACAATCCCTCCCCTGGGGTTGCCGTTGAGGGTTCCAAAATCATACCCCTATGATTTTAGAACCTTGAGAGGCTATCATTTTAGAACCTTGGAAGTTTGGTCATACGAGCCTGGTTGTGGTATGGATTGAAGCCAAGAGAGCACAAGAAACATGTCAATTTTCACTAATTTTATGGCTTGCAGAGATTTTAGAACCCTATCATGCGTATACTTTGGGGTTCTATTCTGCTTTTAGTTGAGGCGTGTCAAACGCCTAGCGTTTTTTGAAAAGATACCGTTGTAGAACCCAGATAATTTGGAGTTTTGAAAGTCCAAGGTGCCTGTTTGATCTAGAGGATCATAATCCCGGAAGCTATACTATACTGCTATATGCTCCATCTAAGTCTCTTCCTGCTTGCTAAGCCATGCCGTGAAGTACTCGCACCTGGACAATGCGCGATCTCCGGAGCAATAAGCGCCATGGCTATAATTCGCCACGATTGTGCCCTTCATTGAACTGAATTCAAGCTGGTCCTCGGTGATCATACATGAACATGGGCAATTTAGGCAAAGAAATCAGATTACGCTGTCAAAATTCACAAAAACCATTTGGTGCCGAGAATCTGTTTGGCGCAGACCGCGCTTGAACGCGTTCCAGCATGGGTGGCTGGCCTCGGGGAAGGCCAGTCCTCTGATTCCCACATGGGAATGAAGCCAGTTGTAGGCCTTGAACTGCGAGCTCTCTTCATCACAGACCTCCAGTCCACTCATTCAGACACCAGACCCCTCTTTAGGAACCAGCAGAACCACCCCGGAAGCTGCACTGAAATTTCCACAAATAAACAAACCATCCAGCCCAGAACAAGATTTCCCTTGAAAGGGGTCCTCACGGTGAATGGAAATTGTGTTCCAGAAAGCCTCCATGGTAACCCTCCAGCGGGGAAATAGGATGGAATCCACACTGGAGACTGCACTGAAGCTGTCTAAGCTAATGTTGGGAAAATATTGCCTGTGTTGTTGGAAAGGGATTGAATGCAGACTGACCCAACAACAGCATGACATGGGATTCAGTAATGACTAGGGGAATAAGGAAATAAGGGACATACACCATCATTGTTCATGAAATGACTGTATAAATGAACAATTACCTTCCTGTAAATGGAGAACCCACTATTTGTAGATCATCTATAGGTAAGGAAGACATTGTTTTCTAGGCCTTTGTTTACCCCAGGGGATTTGATCATTTCTCTTATGACCCTGTATCACCAGGATGTGATGCCCCCAGGTGCCAGAGGCGAAAGCCAAACGCGTGGCCGAGCAGATCATCAGCACCAACACAGGCAGCCCAGCAGAGCCCAGCTGAGAGGTTCCAAAATTTGTTTCCTTTATTTTCCCCATTGATCATTGGTGGGAAAATTTAAATAAGGAAATGAAGGGGAAATACAGAAATAAGGAAATAAGGAAATAAGGGGATACAGAATATATTGTTTAACCAGGTGCTACTCTTCAGGGTTTTTTTCCTGTGCTTCACCCTTTGCCCCATTGGTGGAAATAAGGGTATACCACAGCTTGTACTACTGCAATATTCCATCATTTTTTTTTGCCTAAAATTTAAAACAATGTCCAGAAATGGTTCCCCCACACTAAAATGAACCCTTGCAACCACCGACAACTCCGACCAGGACCCCAAAAAGTTACATATTTCCTTTCGTTCTCAGTGAACCGGTTTATGAAGGAAGATGGAAATAAGAAATCAAATAACGGGATATAGTAACCCAGTAGTTCATTCCAATTGTCAGGGTTTATTCGCCTACATCTTTTGCCTGTTTGTGGAAACAAAGAAAAATGGTGGTACAATAGTAGATAGCACTACAGCCTTGGTGGAAATAAAGACCACCCATTGCTCCATGACATCAGTGGTCAGAAATAAAGAAATAATGGAATTAAAACATGTTATTCAACCAAATAATACCAAATACTACTAGTCTTCAGGGCTTATCCGGCTACATCTTTGCCTCTTTGTGGAATTAAAGAACAGTGGTGGTACAAAGCAGCCCAATACAACATGATAACTAATCATCAGAGCTTTTTGCGCTACACCCTGGTGGAAGTAAAAACTACCTTTTTTCCCATATTTAACACCAATGGTAAGAAATAACGAAGTAAGGAAATAACAACCCAGTCAATGAATATCTTGAACCAGGGCACAGTTCGAAGCAAAGGCATCTGGTCAACAGGTTGCAGAGGCAAGTCTTTATAAGACTCACCCATGAAATCGTTTCTCCGGTGGATCCAGTCCGGGAAGAAGAAGCCAATGCCCTTGCTCTCAGGCCCAAGAAGCAACGTGAGATTGTGGTGCAATAGCTTTGCAATTACCTTGGGGCAGCACTGGACCCATGGCGAGCCACAGATGGGAACAGGGAAACTAACAATACGAATTAAGAACATAAGGAAATAAGGGAATAAGAAAACAGCCAGCATAGGGGGAACAGGCTGGGCAGCCAATGAAACCCAAAGGGAACAAAA